AAATACTTGATTGTATAATTGTATAATGTTATTATTCCTGAGTTAATGAAATTAATTATAAACTATTATTATAAACCCTGAACTTGGAATAATAATTAATTTGGATAATTGGAAATAATATTTAAAGTTGATAAAATTAAAAGATAATTAATGGATAAATATTAATACTAAAGATAATGATGAACATGGAAAGATATTGAAATAAAATAGATGAAAGGTCTGATTCCCTTTCTAAAATAATTGAATCAGTAGTACTTTCTAAAATAATAAAACAACAGTCTTACCTTTAGGAAAGGACTATAAACTCCTTAAAAGAACCGTTAAGTCACTTTATTAGGTGGTTCTTGAGAAAACCAGGAACCACCGGTGACAACGTCACCACAAGATTCTCTGTTATTATTTCCTGAGTAGAGATGGTCGGCTCAATTAATATCAAGTTGGCTCAATTAATTACACCCTGGCTAAATGATTTCATTCTGGCTAAATTCTAGTTCAATTAATTGCGCCAACTAAATTCTAGTTCAATTTAATTGCGCCAGTTAAATTCAAGTTCAATTTAATTGTACCAACTAAATTTTAAATCAACATAACTATTAAAATTTCACTATAATTACAATTATATTATTAATCAAAATTACATTAACATTTAATCTTTATATTAACAAATCAAAATTACACTAAAATTTAATCTTTATATCAGCTAATCAAAACTATATCAACATTTAATCTTTACACCAACTAATTAAAATTGCACTAGCATTTAGTCTTTGCACCAGTCAATCAGAATTGCGTCAGCATTTAGCCTTTGCGTCAGAATTTAGCTATTGTACCCAATTGCATCAAAGTTAATTCCTGGGCTCAATTGGCTAAATTAAATCTGACTAAATTCCTGGCTCAATTCGTATTGCATCTCCTGAGGATAAAAAGACTCAATCTAATAATCCTTTAACTACTCCTATAATTAGTTCCTCTGTAAACCTTACTTTAGCTGAAAAAACAAGAAAAATTACCATTTCTAAATCATCAGTATGAACACCCTAAAATATTAAACAAAAACAAAAGTCAAGTATCCCTAGTCAAAACATAATCGAAAACTTCTCACTTGTAGTTAATACACATTCATCACTATTTTCAATTACTATAAAATTATTAGAGAAAGAGAAAGATTTTGAAACTACTATCACTAGTCCTTTCACCTCAAGTATACTTGAACTACCTGGGTCAACCTTACTATACCTTCTCCATCATATTTTCCCTCCAGTCAATCAAGTACAGTTCCAACACAAATAGACTCTGATACTTGGACAACTAATTTAATACAACAGATTAAAGGAGAAGACTATTTTGAATCTCTTAAATCAAAAATAACTACTTCAGATAGTATACATTTATTAAATAAATTGTTTTCGTATTCTAGAGACCAAGTGTATTTAAGAAAATAACAAATGCTATTAACTAAATCTAGTAGTTTCAGAATTTTAGTTGAAACTTTTAAACAGAAACAGAAACAAAAGGAGAAACCTGTTAAATACTTTTCTACTATTAGTTATTTTGATAATACCAATAATAACAGTAATAGTAGTGACAGTAACGAAAGCAGTAATGACATGATATCAAATATATAAATTTTAAATTATCCTCAACACAATGTAGGAGGTACTACTATTCAAGTAGAACCTTTCTATGGTAATGATTTACAAGATCCATTAAAATGATTGAAAAACTTTGAAAAAGTTTCACAAATAAATGAATGGGATGAAAATTGAAAAATTATTATGTTAAAGATACATATAAGAGATGATGCTGAAGAATAGTATAATACTAAAACAGAAGCACTCACTTGGAACAATTGGAAACAAGCTTTTATTGCATTCTTCTGTAATCTCAGATGAATTAATAAATAGTTTCGCAAATTAGAAGAACTCTATCAATTGAAAGATGAAATCATTGATACTTATTATATTACATACTGACAACTGGTATGAAAAATTGATAAAACTGAAGGAATATCTGTAGCAGATAAATTAAGATACTTTGTAAAGAGGTTAAGACTTGAATTAACTCCTTTGATAATGATGAATGATGTAGTAGATGTAGTTGTCGCAGTTACTCTAATTAGAAAATATGAAACTGATAAACATGTGATTAAAAGAAAAGAACCTTGCAAACTACAAAAAGAACTTGAATCAGAGTCAGAACAAGAAACTCAACTTCGACAAAAAGAAAATAAGAAAAAGAAAACTACAGATAAAGAGAATTTGAATAACTTAATGTAAAAATTTGAGAAGTTACAAATTAATTTAATATAAAAAATTGATCAGTTAGTTAATCAGGTAAACTTCAGAGAACTTGCTCCTCGTAACCAAAACTATAATAACTAAAATAATCACTTTAATAATAATCAAAATTATAACACGCAACTCAATAATCAATTTATACTTGTTTTAATTGTGGTAAGGAAGGATATATCGCTTGATATTGTCAGCAATCTAGTTGTAATAATCAAAATGATAATAAAAAAAATAATTATAATAATAATAGATACAATCAGAATAATGGACGTGACTATCAAAATAATCTTGTTAGATATGCTGAGGTAACTAAAGATAAACTCAGCAGTGATGAAAAAAGATTATTGAGCCAGTTTTTAGAAGTCTATTTAAGAAAACATGAATGTGATGATGACAGTTCAGATAAGAAAATGAAAAAGTCTCAAACTGGTAATTACTTCAAAATCCCTGAAGTAAATACTTTTGAAATTCCTTTCTGAAAAGAATTCAAAAGTAAAAATAAATTTAAACCTACCATTATAAAAGGAATAATAAAAAAAAAAGTTCTAATGAAAAGAAAAGGCCTGTTAAGAAAGAGAAAAAGGAAATTCTTAAATTATTACGTACTAAGGAATTTGATATTGCTAAACAAATGCAAAAACAAGCAAGAATTACTTGGTCTCAATTGTTTCAACTTTCTGAAATGAAATACACTTTATTAAAAAATTTAAAAACTCTCAGAAAAGGGATATGAAAATTGCAGATCAGAAATTTTGACCATGAATTACTTCATTAAAATGTGCTGTTGATATTAATAGATATACTGTACCTGTTATTGTTAATAGTGGTGTTGCCATCAGTATAATAACTTGAGACACTATGAAACAATTAGGATATTCTATTGATGAACTATTTAATAGTATTATTCTACTTGCAGTAGGAGAAAATACCCAACCTTTAGGAGTTATTAGAGACTTCCTTGTGAATGTTGCAGGTTATACTATTCCTATTGATGTAGAAGTTACTGAAGTTACTACTTATACTCTTATCTTAGGAAATAACTAGCTTCTAAAAACCAATGGAAATTATAATTGACAAAACTAGGAATTAACCTTAAAGTGAAGAAATAAAGATTTAATTTTACCTGCCTTCTGTATTTGAGGAAATGTGATGGAAATTTTTGAAACTGAAAGTAAAAAAGAATTTAGTGACAGTGAAACAGAAAGTGAAGAAGAATTTTCTGAACATGAGAATGGTGAGGATAAAGATATGTTTGAAGACTGTATTGAATATTCCGAAGAGAAAATAAATTTCTCTGAAGGAAATGAAAATGAAAGTGATGATAGTAAAGAAAATAAAATTGAAAATGATACAGAAAGTAATAATTCAGATTCTATTGAATCTGAAGATGAAGAAAGTAACTCAAAATCAGAATTTGAAAGTAATAGTGATGATGATAAGGATATTTTAGATAAAATTTCCATAATGATAGAAGATTCATTAGTTAAAACTAAATTGAATGTTGGTACTTTAAGTACTAAACAACAAGACCAATTCAATCAGTTACTTGAAAAAAATCAAGATATGTTTACAACAGATATTAGTCAATTAGAACAAACAAATATTATTTAATATAAAATCGATACTGGAATTAAAAAACCTGTAAAATAAAGGTTTTACCATTTCAATCCAATAGAGGAACAATTTATAGAAAAAAAAATTCAACGACTACTACAAAAAGGACTAGTTGTAAAATCCTTTAGCCCTTGGACTTCTCCAGTAGTTGTTGTAGGCAAAAAAAATGGAAAACAATACCTATGTGTTGATTATAGGAAAGTGAATACCCTTACAAAAAAAGATGCTTACCTAATCTTTTATGTAGATGATATGTTAAGTGCAATGCAAGGTATAAAATAGTTTACCACCCTTGATTTAGTGAATGAATACTGGCAAATTGAAATGAATCCTAGTGATAAGGAGAAAATTGCTTTTATTGTGAAGCAAGGAACCTATAAATTTACTGTGATACCGTTTGAATTAACTAATGCTCTGGTTACTTTTCAATAGTTTATGAATCAAGTTTTTAATGGATTATTATATAAAGATATTATTGTTTATTTAGATGATATTAATATTTACTTCAAAATATTTGAAGAACACTTGAAGAAATTAAGAAAAGTACTAAAATGACTACGTGCTGCTGGTCTTAAATTAGACCCTAATAAATGTCATTTCTTGAAGAAACAAATTGAATTTTTAGATCATATTGTTAGTGACCAAGGTATCACAACTGATCTAGCAAAAATTGAAAAAGTATAACACTTCCTTCAACCTAAAGATGTGACAAAAGTCTGAAGCTTTTTAGGATTAGCTTCATATTATAGAAAATTTATTCATAACTTTTCTAAAATAGTATGACCCTTATATCAATTAACACAAAAAGAAGTACCTTTTAAATAGAAAAAGGAATATCAACAATTCTTTGATAGTTTTAAGGAAAAATTAACAACATTCCTATCCTGACACATTCAGATTTTAAAAAACCTTTTTACCTATTAACAGATGGATCTTTTAAAGGACTTGGTGCAATCCTTATACAATTAAATAATAAAGGTTTAGAACAAGTAATTACTTATATAAGTAAAACCTTACAGGAAGCGCAAAAGAATTACATTATAACAGAATTGAAATGTTTAGTCATTATTTAGATAGTTGAACATTTCCATTATTATTTAGGCATAAAATCATTTATGATTATTATTGATCACTTTGCTTTAACTTGGTTACATACTAGTCCTATGAAAGGATACCATGCTTGATGGATTCTTAGATTACAATTTTATAATTTTAAAATTAAATATAGACCAGGAAAAGAAAACAAAAATATGAATGCATTGTTCAGACTTTAATTATTAAATTAAAATAAGATTTATTAAAAATCTGATATAAAACTCAATCCAGTCTAGGTAGTCAGTGTTTTAACAACACTATTACTAAACATGAAAGTTAAACAATATAATAACCTTTATAATTATTTAACTATCCAACAATACCCTTCAAATTTCCCTCAAAAAGATAAGAAACAAATTACTTTATAAGTACAACATTTTACAATTAATAATAACCAATTATTTAAAAAGTCTCAAAAATCAAATAAACAACTGATTAAAGTAATTATTAGAGAAGAATTAGAACTTCTATTAGACATTATGCATAGTCACCTAACTTCAGGAGGAACTAAAGCAACTTTTCAAAGATTAAAAGATAAATATTTTTGATTGCAGATATATAAAGATATCAAAAAATATGTTACTACTTGTGACAATTGCTAGCAATTTAGAAGATCAACAAGAACTGAACCCTTGCATCCTATACCAGTAGGACAACCTTTTGAAAGGATCAGAATTGATATTGTAGGACCTTTACCTTGTATAACAAGAGGAAATAAATATATAGTAGTTGTCATTGATTATTTAATTAAATGATCTGAGACACGAGCACTTTCTACTGCTAGTACTGAAGCTGTAACTGATTTTATTTATGACGATATAATTTGCTGACATGGGATATCTCAAACCATTTTATCTGATCATGGTACCTATTTTAAAAATCAAATAATAATTCATTTATATGACAAATTCAAAATAAAATATAGATTTTTGTTACCTTGTCATCCTTAAACCAATGGTATGATAGAGTACTTAAATAGAACTCTAGAAACAACATTAGGAAAATTAAGAGATATTATGAATTGGGATGAATATATACCAGCTGTATTGTTTACTTATAGAACAAATACAATACAATCAAATTCACTTTTTTTTTTTTATTATATAGACAAAATATAATATTACCAGTTAAAATAACTGAAAACAAATTGATTAATGAATTTAAATTAAGAAATACTATTATTCACAGAGCTTTTGAAATTGTTGATAAATTATCACAACATTATGAGATAGTACAAAGTCATATTAGAAAGTCACAAAAATAACAAGAAGTCTGGTATTTTACTAAATTAACAAAAATAGTAAAATATAAACCTGGTGATCTGGTACTTATATATAATTCCAAATTGGATAAGTAATGGTTCAGTAAATTGGAAACTAAATGAAAAGGACCATTTAAAATACATAAATGCTTAGATAAAGAAACATATGTATTACACAATC